AGAAAATGGATCTCATTATGTCTCATTAGCATACACAGGTGCAGATCTCCTCATTAGCTGCTGTTTAATTGTTCATTTCATTTCATGGCACAGCTTGAGACATCTCTTTGTGTAAGATGTCTGAAAAGATGAGTGCTGTGGTAGAATTTGCTTTCAGTAGCCCCCTCACAACATATACTGTACATGTCTATGACGTACATTGCCATCTTGTGGATTTAACCTGCAAATGCATAATCTCTTGAGAGTTACAGAGGAGAGTCTTAAAGAAATTCCTGCTTATAATATATTAGATTTAACCAGACAGAAACTGAGCGTGAACGTTAGTTTGATCTTTAAATTTGATGTGATTTGGATACATCCTGTTACTCCCTGCACAAATCACCTGTATTACTCATATTTCACATTTTTTTTATAATCCACATGGGAGAGTTATGGAATTGCAAAATCATATAGAATAGATGAATTTGCAGAGATATGACATTTCCCGCTTTTAATCTCACATGATGCATCATTATCCAGATTGCAGCAGATTCGTCTAAAGCGTGTGCGGGTGAGAACACGCTAAACCACATGATGGCAGTGCTGAGCCTGTCACAGCACACAGTAGGTTTTCCTTAAACATGAAGAGTTTACCAGTCATGATGGGAGCTATTCAGCCGGAGAGAACGGCTGGAGGAACCTGTCTGAGAAAATAACCCTGATGATTTTCTTCTTTTTTTTAAATCAAGTGTAGGATCTTTTTAGGAGTTTGATCGATGCAAAGGGACTAAAAACGAGGATCTCTCGCCTTGTGCTGCATCTATTTTTAACCAATCACTCAACTTAACATCCACTAAACGTAATATTATATCACTGGAGTAGTTGTTTAACTTAAATGACGGAACAGACAATGGTGAAAAAGGTAAAAAATTTCTTTACTCTTCAAGATTTCAGAGGGAAACTTTATACTTTTTACTCCACTAAATTTAGTTTGACAAACACTCATCAAGCAGGTGATTAGAAACACCTGTACAGCTGCTTGTTCGTGCAGTTGTCCAATCAGCCGATCATTGTTGGTGCCAGGTGTGCTGGTTTGAGGATTTCTGAAACTGCTGATCCCCTGGGAGTTTTTACTAAATTAAAAAAAGAAAGAAAAAAAGGTACTATTTAAAATGTCAAGAATGCTCAATAAAACTCAGTACTATTACCAAATGGATGAACTCTCCTGCACTCAGTGATTGTCAAGTCTCCTCGCCTCATAAATAGAAAGAAGACAGACTCAAATAAACCCCATATACACACACACACACACACACACACACATACTGTACACCGGTGTGCACCTACATGAGATGAACACAGATACACCGGAGCACACGCACACCAAATCAGTGTGTGAGTAGTGTAACAAAACAAACAGCGCAAACTGACACAGACAGATTTTCTTATTGCAATATCCATTTATTGTTCTCATCACACTAATCTTTACAAAACAGAGGGTTTGCTGCAACAGGATCAAAGGAAACGTGTTCTCTCTCTCTCTCAGAGTTGCAGATCTGAAGGAGATCGGTGCTTTTTATTGACATGTCAGTCAACTGCAGCGTGTTTGTTCTTTGATTTTAAAACATGAGTTACTAGACTTTACAGGAAAGTAAAGCTATGGTGTTGACAGTAGAACCAGAGGAGAGCGTACTCTGATCTGAGGAAAGTCTGGCTCTTTCTGGAGGCTGTTTTGCTGTTGGTGTTTGTTTGTATCCCATTCATGAATTTCTTGTACTACAGCAGCGCTCACACAGTGAACACTGATTCAGTTGCTGACTGAGCGCATTGGTGAAGAGTTACTGAGATTTTGCACAAATGAGAAACTTGCACTTGCACTTAGGATTTCAGGCTGTCACTGTATTGAAGGAGCTTTTATCACATTTTTTCCATTAAGATTTATTTCAAGGCATTTCTGCTTCGCTGGGACATTAAAGACTACAAAGCAATGAGGGAACAAAGAGATCTCATGCAGCAAAGGTCATGTGTCAGAGTCAAATTCACAACTTTGTAGGTACGTGGTACAGTATGTCTGCCCTGGCTCTCTGGGCCACCAGATTATCACCTCAAACAGTGAAATCAAACTTCTCACAAGTACAAGAAGCTCAGTAAATCTCTACGTCTTCTTTCTCACATAAGATAACAGAGCTTAGCATCCACTGGATAATACGTCAGGGTAATACAGCACATAGTTGATGGCTATCCTGCACACACAGTATAGCCACATGGCTGTCGCTTAGAAGAAGAAGTTATATTAAAAAAGTTACCAGCTTCCTGGTTCATAGATTTCTACAGAGCCACCATAGTCCCAAAAGGTGATACTTTTTTATCTTGTGTTTTCCAAGAGTGGACGTGAACCTAAGTTTGTTTTTCTTGTTGTCAAAACTACAGACACACTCACGGTCTTACGTTAGCTCACACAGCCAAATGTTGAAGTCAGTGAAGCTAACATTGGACAAGCTAACAAATATACAACATGGATGTTACAGCAGCATGAAACAATTTAGTTTTGGTCACCATAAAAACACGACAATGACATGTCATTACTTTACTCCAACACAAACACAACAAAGATGATTTCTTTGTAAGATAGTCGACTGTTAGCTAACACATTAGCCATGACAGCTATGGCTAATGTGTTAGCTAACAGTCACGCATACAGTAGACTATATTGCAAAGAAATCATCTTTCTAGAGATATTTCCAACCAAAGCACACAGGTGTCAGATCTAAGGTGCAACAGGTGTAACACAGGAGTGACTACATTCCTCTGCATGATTAACACAAATGAAACCTCGTGTTGCTCTGTGGCTGCCGGGTGTGAGGAAAGACAACTTTTAGCTAACGTGTTAAAATAAACCCGCTGATAAAGTGTTAATATGTAAATAATGCTGCTTTAACATCCATGCTGTGATTAGTTAGCATGCCTCGTGCTAGCTTTGTTGACTTCTACACTTGACTCTGACCCGACATATGACCACAAACTTCTGTAGATTTGACGACAAAAAAAAGAAAAAAGGGAAAATAGTATCCACGTCCACCATTTATGCTAATATGAAAATTCAAGACAGAAAGCGCTTCTCAAGCTCATGAAGTTTTGAACACACGGTATCTGAACTGGGTGTAAACAGCTCTCCCAGTTTAAACTTGGTCCAGCGAGCAAGTACAGGAGTCCGATACAAAGAGTGAGTCATGTGGACGTTTTCCAGCTGATCCAGTGTCGGTTCAGAGCGGTTCAGCACTTTCATACACACTGTTCTCTGTCATTATAATAAATGCAAGATTTTCCCCGGTAGTCTCTACACTTGAGTGTTGGTGATGCTTGTGTAAAAATCACACTCTCAATACAAAAAAGAGCTATGTACAGTATCATACAAACAAGTTTCATTGTTAGAAAGTGGAGGGGGAGGGATGTACAGTAACAACTAGGTCAGGGGGACGCAAGTGTGATTGTGCATGTGTGTGCTTTGGAATATGTTTAACTATGTGTGCTCTTTAAAACAGGTCTTTACTCTTGTTGTGTGTGTACGTGCGCGCATGTGTGTGTGTGTGTGTGTGCGTGTGTGTGTGGTCCAGCAGAGGGAAACATTTCACAGCACAGTGATAGTCAAGATACCAACGCCACAGAGAGAGAAAGAGAGTGAAACAGAATTTGTAAAAAGATGTTTGGAGACGAAGAAGGAGGAAGGGTGAGTAATAAAAAAAGATAAAAAATAAACATGGACTGGAGGGAGTGTGCAAATCAAAATCAGCAAAACTGTCACGCCACGTGTAGCGCTTATGGCGACCACATCGTATGTACATGTCGATAGATAAATCTATGAATAAAATCTCAGAAATTAATCACAATAATTACATAATTATAGTAAATCTTTTCCAGATTCGGTGAGAAAAGAAATTCCAGTTCAGGGTGAGTGACGCCGTTCCAGAGCGAAATAAAACAACCCCAAAAAAAAAAATAAGTCTGTCGGCGTCACAGAAAGTGTTTTGTATGAAATCTCCTCGTCTCAAAGGAATACAAGAAACAAATATTTGCTCCTGGATGTGATGCACTTTATTTGGCTCACTGTTGTGCCACCTGCAGTTGGGACCTTGGCTTTGTCTTATCAAATGTGTTTGTATTTCTCATCAGGTTTTGGCGACGCTGCAACCATCTGAGAGAAAAAAAAAAAACATGAAGACGATAGCCAAGTGAAGATGTCTGCACTTTCATCCTGTTTGCTTTTGTCTGGTGCTTCTGCTGAGAGATATGAAATGAATCCTTTGATCTGAGTAAACCTCATGCGGAGCTGACTGGGGCACTGCTACTCAGACTACAGTGTGTGTGTGTGTGTGTGTGTGTGTGTGTGTGTGAGTGAGTGAATGGGACGAGATAAGGAGGGAGGGTGAGAGATGGAGACATTGGGGAGAAGTAGAGTGAGTGTGTGTGTGTGTGTGTATGGCTTGCTAAAAGGATGTTTTTATGGGTAAATCTCAGCAGCACACATATCCTTCAGCGGGTTTCTTTGGTCCAACATGGCGACCTCCCGGCAGCACACATCAGAAGCCGTGTCCAGGGGGTCGGACAGGAGGTTCGCCGTCACGTTTTAACTTTCAACATGTGCCTCCTTCAAAATGGATGAAAACTCATTCATACAGTTGTGGGGGTGGGGGGGGTGGGGGGAAACCCCAAAAAAACTGGTGGACATTCTCAGTGGTCACAGTTTGACGTGTTTCTCCTCATAGAGCACACCACTGAAGATGAAAGTGAGCTTCACATGATCGTTTATACAAAAAAAAAGTCTTCAATTGAAATATTCAAAATGGAAAAAAAGAAAAATGTACCTGACTCTGTACTGAATGTTCAGCGTTTTACTTCACTGGGAGTCCAGCAAAGAGAAAGTCTTTGAAGAGTTTGCCTATCGGTTCCCCAGGGTTTGAGACGGCAACAGGAAAGTAGGTATGTGTGTGTGTGTGTGTGTGTGTGTGTTTTATTTTGTGTGTTAGGAGAGGTCTAGACCTGCGTGGAATAGGAGCGGTGCAGCGTTGCGTACCGCCCAGCCGGATGGGCGGCACAGTGCGGCGAGTGCTGCTCCGACTGGTCTAGACTTCGCTGGAAATGGAGCGAGACGGTATGAGGACATCGGGGGTGGCGGGGAACCGATAGGGCTGATGGTCATGTGATCTCGGTGAACGGAGATCCCCGCGGAGTCTGCAGGGGAAAGAGAGGAGTGAGAAAGAGAGAGGACGGGGCAGAGAGAAGGCGAAGGAAAAGAGAAAAAGTGAAGAAAAGAATAATCAAGAGCAATGCACGGGGATGAGGGGGGGGGGGCGAGGAAGAGGAGGAGAAGGAAGAGGAGGAAGAGGAGGAGGAAACAGATGTAACAGAGCAAAAACAGAAATAAGGCAACGGATGACGGAGGTAGTGAGGAGTGACGATGACGGGCAGAGAGGGGGTTTTTAAAGTTGTTCAGAATGGTTGGACGTAGGTGTTGTAAAGTGGGGAGGGGGAGGTGAGTGCGGGATGCTGGAGGAGAGTGAGGGACAAGGGAGCAGATTGAGAGGAGAGAGGCAAGGTGGGAGACAGAGGAAAAGAGGCAGTCAGGTGAGGGTTAGTGACAGTGACAGACCACAGAGGACGCAAGACATCTTCCTAAAGACTCGGACGTGGACTCGTGCTACACTGCCGCTCCTCCCCGGAGAAAAGCTCTTTTAAACGCAGCTCTGTTGAAGAGAAGATATAACCTGAGGTGACGTCCGCGATGGCTGTGACATTTTTTTACTATAATTTTCTTTTTGTTTTTTTGTGTTTTTTTTAAAGCTGCGGCTGAATTCATAGTTTTCCCTCCAGCCATCTGCTTTGCTTTATATCCAAACGGTAAATTACACCTCAAGTGTGTCAGCCAAACTGCTGACTCACCTCAAAGCGATTAAGTGACTCTCTAAATCCCCGATAACAAGGAAATGTGTAACGGCCGTGGTGTTTAGGAGACGGGGCAGCGCCTCTTTCTAAAGCAAACACTCGCACTAGAGTTTGTTCAATCCTCTGGCTGGAATTTAACCACGGCTCATTTCACACCAGTACAACAACTCTCAGCTGTGTGATCAGCCTGGAACAAGGAGATTTAAAGGATTCACTTGGGTGTCTTTGTTGGGACCGGGGGTGCAGGTGGGGGTTGGAGCATGCATGTTTGGGGTTTTGTTCTTTTTTGGAGGGGTAAAAGAGGAGGACGACAACGGACTCAGGTAAGAGACAAGGGGTGTGTATCTCTGCCCCTCTTTAGTGAGCGCAGCCGTGCCTCATACCCACCCCCGCCCCTTACCTGAGGACCACTTAACTTTTCGAGTGGACTCTCCACACAGGGAAGCGTCACCATGGGCATGCCCAGCATGGACTCTGGGCGTTGGGATCGCGGTGGAGGAAGACTGGGCTGCAACTGCTGGAAGTTGTTAATCACACAAGTCACCTGGAGACAGAGAGCGGGAGGAGGAGTTAGTTAATAGTGTCTGCACAGACGCTAACGTTCAGGGTTATTTTTTCTCAGACTCACCAAAAACACAGCGATGGCTCCTCCCGTGAAAAATCCAGCGAGGACGTCGGCCCAGTGGTTGCGGTACTCAGCCACCCGGACCACGCCCACCAGCATGGCCAGACAGAGCAGGGTGAGGCTGATGGTGGGCTTGGTCAGCCGCGTGCCTTTGGTCTTGAACACCAGTGTCACGTACATCTGCAGAGAGGCACAGAGGAGGGCGTGCACAGTAGGGTACAACATATACAGGAAGCCACGTGTATGCGTCATTACAACAGGACTTGGTTTTTCAGATACAAGTTAACAAAGTGCAGGGAAACAGAATTTCTTCCTTTTACTGGCTGGTTAAAGACGAACAAGACTGAAAATGATCTCAACAAAGGACAGTAGGTTTACAACTGCTATGGATGAGTTCTTTTAAGATGTGCTCAGACTGAACACAAACTTTAGAGGCAGTGAAACTTCAAATAAAAATAGCACAAGAAGCAGGTGGACACAAACGGGGTAAACCCACCGAGGTGAGGAAGCATCTATACAAGTCGAAAACATTTAGTTAGTAAGAAGTTAATTATCCTGAGGCTTTATGGCTTGAATCAAAAAAGTTCTAAGAAAACAAATTAAATGAGAAGGGCTTTGGGGTTCTTGGACGTATCTGAGATCAGCACAAGTACAACATGTCGAACAGTCGGTGAACAGGCTGCTAGCCAGTGACGACTAACGTCTTCGTACATCGTCTGTTTGGGGCAAATAAACACGGGCTGCAAAAACACTTCAGCAGATCAAATTTACTTGAATAATACAAGCTGAAAATCTGCTTTGCATTCAGTCTGAACACACCTTCATTTTTAAATTCCTCATGCGTCGTTCATTCCAGTGCACTGAGAAAATTTCCCACCAGTGACCGTGCCCGCCTAGCTACTTAGTCTAAGGTACTTTGAATAAGCGTGGGGCTAAAATATTGGCTCTATGACACTGCTTCAGCCTCAACCTGTAGTTTATGATGGTGACATTTACACACACACAAAAGAAATTGGCAAAATCATCACTTTTGTTCACTTTAAAGGAAAAGGCATTTTGGAAAATACGCTACATGTGAAGCTACATCCAGCCGCTTAATACAAACACTGGAACTGAGGGGAAACAGCTTAATATCTCGTTCAGTTCATTCAGTTCTTGTGTGAATTAAATAAACATGATAACGAGGGGTTAATTAGTGAGCTTTAGCTGGTAGGTGGATTTTGTTAGCTGCTAGCTTCGTCTTCCTGTTTCCAGTTTTGGTGCTAAGCTAAGACAGATGCTGGTGGTAGCGTCATATTCACTGACATGTACTGCAAATTATCAAACTACTCTGAAGCTCAATATTTCAGTACAAATGAAAAGAAATGCTCATTAAAGGAGATGTAAGCAGGGTTTCAGTTGCGAACATGCATTTACAGAAGCACAAAGTATCCGGTCCAGCATGCTCCAGCCTACCACTGTGTACACTGCAGAGTAGACGCTGAGCGCCGCGTCCTTGGACGGGAAGGATTTGCGTGCAGACATGACGATCAGCGGGTTGCCCGTGCAGGCGCGGCGCTCTGTGATGTACTGCATGGTGGACTGGCAGCCTAACGCAGTGTAGTTCGGTCGGCAGGCAGACAGGAAGTGAGGCGTCTGGTTTCCTGTCACTACCTGGCCGGCGTTGGCGAAGATGGTGGTGGTGAACAGGCCGAAGGCATAAACACCTGGGTTGGACGCAGGTATGAGGGAGAGTTGGTTAGCGGGGTGGGAAAATTGTGGGAAAGGTGACAGAGACGTGGAGGAAAATAAATAAATAATAATAAAAAGTAGAGTTAGGAGGGAGAGAAAAGTTCAAACATACAGTATGTCAGAAGATGAAGAAAAGCACATTTCATGTTTGACAGAGAGCGATATCAAAACACGTAACAGCACTGAGATATTAAACAGGTGATAATGAGTTTTTCCTCTTAAAATAGCCTCAACACATTATTATCACCTGAGGTTTGAAATCGCAACAGAAGCCTTCACCCCAGCTGATTCAGCTTAACATGCAAATGTGCAGACTGCTTAATATTCATAAGTGTCTTGCTGCCATCCCCCTGTATATCTTATCCCAAAGGGTTATATCGCAGTTTATTATCCAATTAACAGCTACGTCTGCAAACTCGGAAGTGAAGCAGGTCACGTTCTTACAAGTTAACCTTTTCTTATAGTTTTGTTTTTATCTTTTTCATCTTGTCTTTCACTCGTCCCGACAACACCACACACACACAGGGAGACACAGAAAATGCCCTTTCGCCGGCCTGTGAAGAGCGGAGAGGCTGTGTAATACAAACCAGCGTGCTCACCTAGGAAGCGTATTATGCGTCTCAGCAGGGGGTTGAAGTAGCAGCAGTCTGCAGTGACAATAGTCTTCTCCTGGGTTCCTTCTGCCTTGGTGAAGAAGGCACACAGCTCTCCAACAAGAATCTGTGCACACACAGCAAACACATTGATTACACACAACACCGTTTAATGGTACACCTGGTAGACTGAATTTATTGTATCATGTTAGCAGCCATATTGGGGTTTTGCAACCCACCGCTGCAACAACACTCAACCACACCTGAACACACAGAGAGGTCAAAGGTCACGCTCAGCTTCAGCAACAACTAGATATCCACTGGTTTAATTAATGACGGGTGTAACTGCAGTGATGATGGTACACATTTTTTTCAACCTGGGTCTTTATTTTCTGCATTTTTCGGTCCACCGCTGAATTTCATGACTGAAAAATCTCAACAACTACTGGATGGATTGACATGAAATTTTCACAGACATTCGTCCCCAGAGGATGATCCCTGCTGACTTTGGTGAACCCCTGACCTCTCGCCTTGCACAACCATGAGGTTGTTTTGAGTTAAATATCTCAATCTCTATTGGATAGATCACCATTAAATTTTGTACATGCATTCATGTTACAAATACATTACAGATCTTTTAAGTTTATGGCTAAAACGAATAATAATTGGACAGGTAGGAAGAAATAGCACTGAAATGAGGCTGATTATTAAATATAAAGATACAGATTATCAGGTGTTGTCCACACATGGCTCACATTAGACTAATGTTTATCTTCAACAACTCTTAACAGTGCACAGCTTTACAGAGAGGAATCATTTGACCACAGTGAAGGTGCAGCTCAACTATGAAGGTGACCGTGACTGACCCAGTCCTGCTCAGGGCTCTTAGCTTGACGAATGATGTCAGAGCTCACGGTGCAAACGGATCTAATTAGACACTTTGATCATCTGTTTTAGTCAGCGTGGACTGGCTGTGGTCGGGTAGAGATGTATACTCGGCGCTGTCTGCAAGTTTCTGTGATCAAAAATAGCAGCCATTGTTCCCGGGTGCTCACAGTTTTATTGTTGTCTTTGTGAGGAGCATCAGGCTCGTGGCAGGGGTTCCAGTCAGGTGACTGGTGCTCAGCTCGCTCCCTGCGAGTCTGAACGGCGGCGCCTCTCCAGGCTGATGATCCCTTAATGGACTGCGACTGTGAGACTCATCTGTATGAGAGCCCACAGCACTCCGAGCTGGCACCGACTAAAACTTAGCTCCCTCATTGAATAACCATCTATGACAGAGATATGCTTAAAGTTAACTCATCCTGACAATTTCCATGCTCTGCTGAGACGCAAGTGGAACCCACTTTAACGCTGACCGTGTTCCACAAACCCATCAACCTCATTGTTCCTCCTTCCATATTTAACATAATCCCCCCCCCCTCCCATTTATCCCGCACAGCGACAGTGTCTGAATCACTGCTGTCTGAGGAGGGCAAGCAAAAGGAAATGAAAGAACTACAGAATGAAAGGAAGGCAGTGCAGGAGAGAGACAAAGGGAGATGAAAATGATCGTGATCGTGTTTCAGTTGAGTCTTGTTCTTCTAAGCACTTCCGAGCGGGTCCAGCCAAGTCAAATGAGTTAATAACATGCACGGGCCCGGTCAGTGCAGCAGTGCTGTGAAGTCCGTGCCCAGCCGAGTGCTTTCTTCCATTAGTGAAACAGGACCCCGGTGGGTGTTCCATGGCAACCCTCTAAACACTAATACGAGCATGAAATCAAAGCCGAGGGGTTTTAATCAGTGGCTTCAAATCAGAGACGTTCGGGGCACACTGTCACACCGTGGACAACCATTTACGGGGCAATTAAAAGACACACAGAGGCTGTTTCTATGGGGACTGCTGGTGTGCGGAGGGTCTGAGCATGTGTATGCCACAAAATGTGAGATAATGGTAGTGTGCTGTCATTCATGGACAAGTGCTCTTCAACACTTTTGCCTCGGGCGAAGCTGTAAAGCCGTGGGTGGTAGGCCTTTTTGGAAGCATACACTACTGCCCCACAAGCCCTTTTTGTAGACTACAGCTATTCAGAGTGAATGCTTCATATGTGCATGTGATAGGACTCTTTAGACAGTCAGTAATAAAATCCTCCACTTTTACAATTTTGGATTGATTTACACTCTAAAGTCTCTCAAAACAGTTTCCTCCTGTTGTCCAACCACCGTAATCAACATGATTGAGAAGCTCTGAGAAGCTGGGAGAGGTATCCTCATTATGGTTTGTTGCACAGTTGTTATTTTGTTTAAAGTTTTCTCTCTGCTGCCGAACGTGGTTTCCTGCCGGGAGCAGGTGATGGGTGATTGGCGCTTGACAAGAGCTTCAGCCATCGTTGTCATGACGGACACAAGAGGTAACACTGGCGTCGCCTTTCCACCTCTGGAGACAGCTCTTGGTGAGTAAAGGAATGAAGTTTGATGCTGAACTTCTTTCTTCTACGCAGGGAAGTAAACAGCCATTAATGCTAATGTTGGCTATGTGCTACGGCTATGTAGCGATAGCAAAAACGTACAAATAGCTCCTTTAAAGAGAAGATCACACGACTCATCTGAGACACATTAAAATGAAACATAACAAACAAACAAAAAAAGAAAAAAATCAGAACTTTTCTGATTCCTTTACACCGATTTCATGATTCGTTAATTAGTTAATTTGACTGATGATGAGGTTTTACAGTGTGAACAGTCTGAAAGTTGGTTTTCCGCCATTTCACAAGTAAACAGAACTTTCTCCCTTTGTATTGAATTGAAGCTAAAGATTATAAATTAATACAGCTTACTCACTTCTGTTGAAGCAAGAGCATGGCTTAATCTGTTGGCTCAGCCTCAGTCTTGTCTTTAAATACTGATCATTTGTTTAGTCGTATCCACTTGTAATCCTTATGTATGCGCCAAAAAAATATAAGTTCCCATTTTCACAGGGTTACTCTGATTGATGCAGGGACGAAATATCTGCAGACACCACTCTGCTAAAAACTACACAAACTTACAGCTCCATTGTCCCCCCCACTTCTGCCCTTGGTGATAAGAGCAGGAGGGTTTATGAAGGATTAAGTGAAAAGGTGAGAGCAGGAGTACACAGCAGGAAAAGTAAAGAGTGAGGAACCAAGAGGGGAACAGTATGGGGAAGGTAGAAAGGTGATAGGGTTAGGGTAATACTGCAGGAATTAATTATTCATGCGCGGATGGCGTGTGTGTGTGAATAATGTAGCGCATTATTTGAACCAGCATTTCTAAATGATCTCCCTCCACTGCAGTGGGATGTGCTCGGGCTCCTTGCCTCTGGCCCGACTGCCCCCTCAAGGATTCACGGTTAAATACGACGAGGTTGTCACTGCAGTTTAGGGGCGAGCGGATTATAATTCCTCGAAATTAAACTGCTCATCCTACATTGTCTACACACACACACACACTGACAATGCAGATGCGCCCACAAACATGTCATTCCAGGACATACAATGATTTCTGCTGTAATGCTGTGTCACTGCAGGATGAGTGTCAAGATTAGGGACGAAAAAAAAATAAAAAAAATGAGTGTAGATGAGGACAATGCATTACATGCATACTTACATGCATGATTTCAGTGCAGAACAAGGGACGAGTGAAGGAATGAAACATTTATACAGACATGAGATATGATTAACTCTTCCTCTCTTTGTCTGCACGAGGATTCTGCTCTGTGCGTGTGAGTAATGAGATCTCCATTTGTGTCAGCGAGTGTTAGTCAAATGCGAGTGTGCGTTCAGACTGGCCCTTTTTTTTTATTAATACGTGTCCATTAGAAGACAATAAGCAGGGATGTTTTACTCAGAGCAATGAGATGAATGGAGAGGAGCGTGGAGATGACAGAGCAGCAGTGGGAGAGGGGGAATGAAGAGAGCAGGAGCGATTAGAGGAACACTATTAAAAAAGGAAGAAGAGGAGGAAATAAAAGATTTTTGATAAATAAATACATTTATAATTCATTATTATATTTTAATCTTATAAATAATTGATTACACGGTGGACGTGCACATTCAGACGCTGGAAAAAAGAAAAAACGACTGTGTGAAACCAGCTCCACTAGCGTTTCCTATATTTGGAAGACTGTCTGGAGCAGAGAGTTATTCAAAAGACAGGAGAGGATGCAGAAGACAAACAAGCTGTCGTGTGATCCTCGTGTGGTAATGATGTCAATAACGCTGTGAGGGACAAATCAAGCATCTTGGAATCAGCCTGAGCGATGGCACTGCAGCAGAGCAGCGAGATGCAGATTGCCTCCATTAGTATTCCCTTCTGCAAATAGCAACTGACACTGTTCAGCCCGTGTTAGTGATGAAAAAAACAAAACAAACAGAAGGCAACAGATGGAAACAGAGGGGAATACAATGTTTGCTCGACTCTGAGCCATTACATAAAATGGACTAATGCTGCAAGAGGCACTTAGACTGGGTTCTTACATAAATCCTAATCCTAAAAATTAACCCACATCTTTCAAAAGCTCACAATGTCCTACATTTTTTTAATGGTCTTGGTATGTATGGCTAACACTTCATAGTGTATTGGCGACTGTGGAGATGCAAAGTCTTACAGCCCCTGAGAACACGCTTTAAAATATTAAGTATTTCTCAGAAACATTAAATATTGATGACTAAATAAACTGAAGTCTTGGGGAGAAACTATATATATTCATGAAGAGTTTAACACTCAAAAACTCAGCTAATCTGCTTCATCAAGCCTGGCAAAATAAACAAACAACAACAAGACTGTTGCACAGAAATACGCAGCGCCACCTTCTTCCAGCTGAGGCACCCGCCGACTTTAAACCAGTGAGAAAAGCCTTCAGAGTGGAGCTCATGCTTACTGTGTTAGCCTAGCTGCACCTATGCCGTTACCTTTACAGTTGTCAGTATGATCACGTCTCACAAAGAGGAGGACCAGATGGAGGTGAGGTGATTTTAATATCCCATTAAAGAAAAAAGCAGTTCTTAGTTTCTACCATCAGAGCTGCTGTGTGAAATTACTCCCGTCTCTCAGCAGTCTTACGTAATGACTGCTAAACTTTAAAAGGCAAGAAAGATGATCACTCATAAATGAATTATTTAGCAGAAAG